TTTTGTTTTTCGAGACAAGGTTTCTCTGTGTAGCCCTGGCTGTCCTGGAACTCACTCTGTAGACCAGGCTGGCCTCAAATTCAGAAATCCGCCTGCCTCTGCCTCCCAAGTGCTGGGATTAAAGCGTGCGCCACCACTGCCCAGCTAAACCAAGTTTTTCAAACTAAACTGCATAAGAGTAAAAACTGTGGTTTAACCCAATAAGTATCAAGACTTCCAGAGCACCTGACCACTTATATGGCCTCAAAGTCAAAAGGTAAATGGCTCATTTCTAAGCCTTGGAGAAATGCAATCTTGCCTTATTGGCTTATAGTGAAGAATAAATAGTATTCAGAAAACCTAACGAAGTGCTTGGCAGAAAATCAACACTTAAGGTTATATCCCTTTAGTACTTGATACCTTATCAAGCTGTTTATTTCCTCATCTGTAAAGTGAATATAGCAGGTAGCCTGCCATATAAATAATATATGCACAGTGTTTATTGCCTGACTGGCTTTTATTACCTAATCTTAATGCTACCTTAGCTAAAACTAGAGAACTTTATTTTTTGCAGTGCTGGGAATTGAGCTTAGGGCCTTACATGTTTTAGGCAAGCACTCAACCACTACATTTTAAAAAAGCAATCTTAAAGATTAAAGGAAATTCTATACCTAGAAGGAAAAAAAAATTCTAAACTAGGCCTCAAATTTTGAAGGTGTGAATAAAACATCTTCTATAGAACATGTCTCCAGCATGTGTGCAGTTTCACAAATAACTGCCATTCATTTTCCTCAGAACAATCCTAAAAGGTAAGCCTGGGAGATTCCCACCGACCAGGAAAAACTAGAAATACGTAGAGAATAAGTCTAAGAAACTTAGTTTTTCACGAAGAATTCCTAGAATCTTTTGCTAGACTACAGCAGTGGATACATTGTATTAATCTGTATTTCTAGTGTCAAAAGAGACTGTGATTTACATGGTAAGTAAAATGGTAACAATTTATAACTCTAAGAAGGCACAAAGAAAAGGGGGTTTCAACCTGATTTAAAATGCTTCCGAGATTTATCTTATCGTCACCTGTACACTCACTGACAGTCTGACAAGGATAAGAGGAGAGATGCGAGAGAACAGAAACATGACGTAGGGAAAACAGGACCCGTTTTAAAAAAACAAAACCAAAAACCAAAACCCTACAACCAAGACATTCCTTGCCTCAGGGTACTGTAGAAACCAGCTACTGGAAGTTAGGCTAGGTTTTTAAGGCGATGCTGGAGAACAAAGACCTGAGAAGCTAGACTATAGAAGGAACGTCCAGGAAGTCACGCAGCTACGGCAAACACCAGAGCCTGGAGGGTCCTTGAGAAGATATGTTCAGAACCAAATGTTGAGTAAGCTGCTCTGAGGCTTACTGGAAGCCCCATCTCGGAGCATACACTGGCTCCCAAGAGTAGTCCCGACAGAACAATCAGGTCGGGAGTGAGAGTATAGAGATGCCTCAGAGAAGACAGGGAAAGAACAAGGGTGCGGAGAGGGTGAGTTCAACTAGACACACGGCCTAGATAGGGGCTTGGGACACCCTCACCTCTTCCGCACCGAGCGCTCCTTCTCAGGACAGCGCCAGGCTCAGCCGCCGGACCAGCCTTTCTAAACAGGCTGTGAGGCATAGAGAAGGGCCGAAGGGGAAAGCCGAGAGAGTGTCTGAAGAAGGGGAAAGGAATACCCACAAAGCATCCTGGAAGTTGTAGTTCCTTGACCTCTATCATCCTTGCGTTCTCCCGGTGGGCCGCGAGGCTTCTGGACTACCAATTCCAGAAACACTAGCGTAATGCTCGGTCATTTCCTTTACTTTCAGCATGACCTTCCGCAGTTATCGGAAGGGTTGTTTCAAAGACTACAACTCCCATCAGGCTTAGCAGAGTCGTTTTAGGGCCCAAGGAAACAATGAGACGAATATTTTGTGTCCTTGCCGGTGCGAATTACGACTTTGAGGGCCTAGACTTAGAGACCTTTTAAGATAAACTGAGAGAGTTCGAAGGAACTCCAGAAGTTACGGAGCCTACGGTTCGGCGAGCTGAAACGGAAGTACCCGGTAAGAACGAGGAGGAGCCGGAAGTTAAGGCTGGGAGGGGGTTGGGGGTGGAGGGAAAAGCAAGCCAGGAGGTGCTGTGCTGCTTCTAGTAGTTTCCAGGCGCTGCCAGGCGGCTGGGACCGAGCGGTCCTCAGGCTGTGGCTGCGGCTGCTTGGGAGCTGGTAGCGGTGTGATAAGTGAGCTGATGGCCAAGTGGGGTGAGGGAGACCCACGCTGGATCGTGGAGGAGCGGGCGGACGCCACCAACGTCAACAACTGGCACTGGTACGGGCCAACAAGACAGGCCGCAGGAGCACTGTTAACAGGCTAGGGTTTGGAGGTGCCTGGGACCTTGGCGTGTACAGATCTGGGACCCAAGCAACCCTGGCCTGGGATTGGGCGTGGGTCCTTCCTGTAGCAGGGGTCCTCTCCATCCCTCGCCACTATCGCAGTCTTAGGGGCGATGGGTCCGACATGGACCGCTGAGTCCCCAAGGAGGAATTTCAGAGCGAGAACAGAGCGCCCTAGTTGATGCCTCCAGCCTGAGCACGGTGAAACTTCCTACACGTGGCCGCAGGCGTCCTTGAGATCCAAACCCCCGCGGATTGTAATGGGAGACTGCTGGGGAAGTCTCGAGCTCCAGGCGCGGTAGTTGCTAGTTTGCGGGTTACAGCGAAAGCAAAAGTCATAGGGGACTACTGTCTCAGTCCAGCGGGAGAAGCTATGGAACGTGATCTGCAGGGCGCTTGGAGCTTCGGGATGCTGAACGCAATGCAGTCTCTCACCCGGAACTGTTAAGTTCTGTTGTAACTCCAGGTTGCCGGGTAGTCATGGTTTTACAGCCTAACCGTTCTTAGAAGCAGCCTCATCTCTATGAAATCTTCTAGAAACATTGTTATTTGGAGTACCACTGAACTTTACTGACACTGTATAGTTTTTTTTTCCTCAGTTATAGCCCTTCGGTTTTTTTTTTTAATAGCTGTACTAGAAGGGCAAAGAATTGATTTTTTACTGTCTTTTTTTTTTTTCCTCAACCTGACTCCTTTTAACACTGTATTTGACATAATTTTTCTTGTGGACTTTGTGACACTGTCTAGAGGACGCAGAATGTGTAGGGCAGAGTCTGAACACTGAACGGGACAGAACACTGTTAATGAGGCTAACGTTGTTTTTGTTTTGTTTTTGGTTTTTGGGTTGTTTTTTTTTTTTGACTCGGACTCTTAGCAAAATGCTTGCTTGTCTTTTGCTCCCTCGACTTCAGCAGTATGGTCACATCTTTCCTCTTGGCCAAATGGGGGCGCCATATTAATGGTCAAGGTTCATCCTGCTGAGAAAGTATAACTCCGTTTGAACAGCACCTCTCTTTGTTGACAACTCTCCAGCCCTTTGACTTCCTAAAAGTAGCATGTTAGTGGGCATTCGAGGGTAGAATTTAGGGGGGTTTGTTGTTGTTTTCTGCCTCCTTTAACCTTGCAGTCACTTGCTGCATGAAATGGTGCATCCTCCCCTTGACTGCTAGCCTTTAGCTGAGCTTCTGTCTTGCAGGACAGAGAGAGATGCTTCAAACTGGTCCACAGAGAAACTGAAAACTCTGTTCCTGGCCGTTCGAGTGGAAAATGAGGAGGGCAAGTGCGAGGTGACCGAAGTGAACAAGCTTGATGGAGAGGCGTCCATCAACAACCGGAAAGGAAAGCTGATCTTCTTCTACGAGTGGACCATCAAACTGAACTGGATAGGTAAGGACTGCCAGGCTGCCAGAGAAGAGGTTATAGCCCCGTTCCCATTGCTCTGATCCTTGCTGGAAGGTTCTGAGCACTGACAAACTTGTGAAGGGAGAAGACAGTGTTGCTTTGAGAAAAGGGGCACTGAGTGCTACCGTGGGACGCCAGATGCATTTATTTGCTCGCTCTTGTCAATTCCATTTGTCTGATGAATGATTTTTTTTTTTGGGGGGGTGTGTTTTCTTTTAACTTCAGTCACTTTCTAATTCCAGTGCAAATCTTAGATCACTGTACTATCTCATATTTAATTATAAATCTAATTTGGGGTTGTTTTACCATCTTACAATTTAATATCCTTCCCATAATATCCTTAGGGGGAAAATTGGGCTGAATGGGATATTTCCCAAAGGAGTAGTAAAGATGAAAGTAGATAGATTTGTCTATACTTTTTGCTTTTTCAAAGTATATCTGAAGTATTGTGGCCTGGAAGGAACTGTATATATCTTGTCCAGTCTCCTTTTTATATAATGCACTGAGGAACTGAGTCATACAGATACAGAGTCAGTGTTGTCATA